CCGGCAAAAATAAAGGAAAGTAAGTTGTTTCGGTTGGATATGACTGGCTGATGACAGCTAAAGAGCCAGAAGTGGCCCCTCCAGTGTCCTCTGTCTTCCTCGGCAATTATATCTGCGTAGAGTACTAGTCGTTGTGCGGCTGCTGGCATAGTTCGGCAATGAACCCCAAGTCACAGTGGGACAAGTCAGTTCTTTTAGCGATCAGTGAATGTTAATCAACGATTTTCCATGTCTCCTGACCTAAACCGGTAAGAAAAAGGGCCTACGGCTCAAGGATTAGAGCTTTAGACTCTGATCGAAAAGGTCGCAGGCGCGAGGCTCGCTTGGGGCAGCACTTGGGGTTGGATATGACTAGCTGATGACGGCTAACGAACCAGAAATGGCCACATTCCGACAATGCTAGCTACCTAAAGCTTGTCTCACCTGATGCGTGTCCATAGTGCATTTGGAGACCAACAACCGGCAGGCAACATGAAGTACCCACCTGAGCGCTCCGTGAAGTAGTTCTGACTACCTAATCAGAAGTGGTCGGCATATTTGAGTCAAGCCTGGCCGCTAATGACGAAAACCTGACCTCGAACCACTGTACCGAGTCTCCACAGAACTGCAGACAGGATCCTTTAGTGACACCGATTAGTCAAGGGACTGGCCAAGGACTGCACGCACCCGAGCGAGCGAGTCAGGCATCGGACAACTCGCATGTTCACAAGACACACGACAGTTCGACCGTCGCTCTCGACGATATCCACAACGAACTTCAGCCTGCAGAGGCAATGCGTTTACTATGGCTGACTTAGAATGAAAGTAGACTCGCGGAGAATCTACCCCCACTCTCTGACCACTTCCATACCTGAAACCGGTGTCAAGTCGATTAAAAACGGAGATGGGGGAGGGCGCAGGCGGTGTGCACGAGACACACTCCAACACGCGTCACAACATCACCACCCTACTAGGTAGGCTCCCGCGTGTGCGGAAGCGCCATAAAAGCCACATTAAGAAGGAGCTATTCAGCCTGACTCTCAGCCTGCAGTAAGCTACTTCACACAACAAAACGCACTGGGATGACCAGGTGTTATTTCGCCAGTTGGCAACCCTCCAAGGCACGGCTTTTAAC